GAGTAATGGACAGATGGATGGGTGAATGGATGGGTGGGTGGGTGGGTGGGTGGATGGATGGATGGATGGGAGGGTGGGTGGGTGGGTGGATGGATGGATGGATGGATGGGAGGGTGGGTGGACTGATGGATGGGTGGGTGGATGGATGGGTGGGTGGATGAATTGATGGGTGGGTGGGTGGATGGATGGATAGGTGGGTGGATGGATAGATGGATGGATGGATGAATGTTAGATGGATAGATGTGTGGGTGAATGGATGGATGGATGGGTGGGTGGGCAGACAGATGAGTGAGTGACTAGATGGATGAATGTTAGATGGATAGATGTGTGGGTGAATGGATGGATGGATGGGTGGGTGGGCAGACAGATGAGTGAGTGACTAGATGGATGTGTGGGTGAATGGAGGGATGTGTGGCTGGATGGGGGAATGGATGGATGGATAGTAGATGTGTAGGTAGGTCGGTAATGAGTAGATGGGTGAATGAATGGATGGATGCGTGGATGAACTGATGGATGGGTGGGTGGATGGATGGGTGGGTGGATGAATTGATGGGTGGGTGGGTGGATGGATGGATAGGTGGGTGGATGGATAGACGGATGGATGGGTGAATGGATGGATGGGTGGGTGGATGGATGGATGGATGGGTGGGTGGATTGGATGGATGGATGGGTGGGTGGGTGGGTGGATGGATGGATGGATGGGTGGGTGGGTGGGCGGATGGATGGATGGGTGTGTGGATGGGTGGGTGGATGGATGGATGGGTGGGTGGGTGGATGGATGAATGGATGGATGGATGGATGGGTGGATGAATTGATGGGTGGGTAGATGGATGGATGGGTGGGTGGATTGGATGGATGGATGGATGGATGGATGGGTGGGTGGGTGGATGGATGGATGGATGGATGGGTGGGTGGGTGGGTGGGCGGATGGATGGATGGGTGTGTGGATGGGTGGGTGGATGGATGGATGGATGGGTGGGTGGGTGGATGGATGAATGGATGGATGGATGGGTGGATGAATTGATGGGTGGGTGGATGGATGGATGGGTGGGTGGATGGATGGGTGGGTGGGTGGGTGGATGGATGGATAAAAGGGCAAATGGGTAAACAGATGGATTGATGGATAGATGGGTGAGTGGATAGATGAATGAGTGACTAGATAGATGAATGGTAGATGGATGAATGTGTGGGTGAATGGAGGGATGTGTGGCTGGATGGGGGAATAAATATATAATTCCCCCATATGGGGGAATAATAGATATGTTATTAGATAATAGATATGTGGGTGAATGAATGGATGGATGGGTGGATGAGTGAGTGATGGATGGACGGATGAACTGATGGGTGGATGGATGGATGACTGGATGAATGAATGGAAGAATGGATGAGTGTGTGAATGGATGGATGAGAGGATAGATGGGTGGATGGATGGACAAATGGTGGGTGGGTGGGTGGATTGGTAGACGGATGGATGTGTGGCTGTAGGAGAGGATGGGTGGATGATGGAAGTGTGGGTGGGTGGGTGCATGGGTAGATGAGTGAGTTAATGGATGGATGGGCAGGTAGATGGATGACAGGTAGCCAGGCAAGTGGACACATGGGCAGATAGGTGATGGGTGGATGGAAGGGTGGATGGATGAGTTTATGGGCTGGCCTAGGGAGAGTAGGCAGGTAGAGAAGGACAGCCTCTCAAAACGGATGCAGAGAAGGAGCTACTGGTGATTGTGACTGCATTTCCTCATCTCAAAGTGGACTCAGATCTGGGACACCAGACTGGCAAGAAGGGCATGAGGCTTGGTCCTTCCACCCTCTTCCATCTTCCCTTCTGGCTGCCAACAGAATGCAGAGCCCTGCCTTGGCCCCCAACAAGAAGAGAACAGGTTCCAAGGTCCCTACAGCTTCAGAGAGTGGAAGAGAGACTAGGTTTGGGTCTCAGTTAACTTCATCAGGGAAATGGGGACAAGGGAATGGGGGAGAATTGCTTAGCTGGGGGACTCCTTAGAAGTGCTGGTAAATCTCCACGTATGTACAGATTTCTCCGGACAGAAGGGCCAGAGCTTCCACCCAGGACCTGATACCATGCAAAAAAAAAAAAAACAAGGTCCATTAAACTCAGAGGAATTAGGCAACAGCACAGGGGCTGATCACTAGCACAGGGTCTGGAATCAGACCATGAAGGTCCAAATCCCCACTCTGCAACCTGCAGGCTGCCTAACCTTAGACAAGCCCAGTACTGAGCTAGTCTGTTCCCCTAGTTCCTCCCTCCACCTTTTCCCACCCTGCTCTGCATCCCTGGGCTCCTGGTGCTAGAATATGGTAGAAACGACGGTGTAATTCTGAGGCTAGGGCTTAAAGGGCACTGTGAATTTCTCCATGATCACTCTTCGGTTATGCGTTCTGGGGGAAGATGCCACGTTGTGAGGAAGCTCAAGCAGCACTGCGGAGAAGCCCACGTGGTGAGGAGCTGAGGCCTCCTGCCAACAGCCACCAGAGGAAGCACAAACTCCTCAACCACAAACTCCTGCTGACGTCTTGGCTGTAACGTCAGGAGAGACCCTGAGCCAGGATCATGCAGCAAACTCGCTCCCCAATTCCTGACCCCTGGTAGCTGTGAGATGACAAGTGCTTATTGTTTGAAGTCTCTATTTGGGGGATAATTTGTTATGTAGCAATAAATAATACGGTCCTTAGGACTCTGCTGCGCCCCTGGCACTAATCTGTATGGACTGACTTGCCCTCCAGCTTCTCTAGTTCGATTGATTGTTTGGTTGTGGGGGTTTTCTCGTGTGTGTGTGTGTGTGTTTTGTTTTTGTTTTTTTGGAGACAGAGTCTCGCTCTGTTGCTAGGTGCCAGGCTGGAGTGCGGTGGCGCGATCTCGGCTCACTGCAACCTCCGCCTCCCGGGTTCAAGCGATTCTCCCCCCTCAGCCTCTCCAGTAGCTGGGACTACAGGCACGCGCCACCACGCCCAGCTGATTTTTTTGTATTTTTTTAGTAGAGACGGGGTTTCACCATGTTGGCCAGGATGGTCTCGATCTCTTGACCTCGTGATCCATTCACCTCAGCCTCCCAAAGTGCTGCAATTACAGGCGTGAGCCACCGCGCCTGGCCATTTTTTTTTTTTATGTTTTTATTTCAAGCTTGTGGTTGGTTTGGGGAGGCACTCACAGAAGGTCCAAGGTGAAGAGTGAATTCAGGGAATTTATCCGCAGACTCTAGATCACTTCTGCACATGCTGTTCCTTCTGCCTGCTGTGCCCTTCCATGCCATCTTTCAGGTTTCTTCTCAAATGTCACCTCCTCAGTGAAGCCCTCCATGATCACCTCCTCTACAGATTGCTGCCCCACCCTGCCCTGTTATTCTCTTCCAGTGCTGAAGATCAGAGAGGTTAAGTCACTGGCTCACTGCCACACAGGAAGGATGGGACTGAGCAGCGAGCCCACAGATGTGGCTGCCAGACCCCATGCTCCAACTTGCATCACGTCACACCCCAAAGAGGGGTTCCCTATTCTTCAAGACGAAGCAGAGGCCACCCCCATGCCCAGAACCTTCCGATGCTCATTGAAAATCAAGTCAGACTCATGCGATGACCTCAGGAACCCCTGGAAGGCGCCTGTCAGATTTCCTACAGTCAGCCAAGCACAGATGGCTAAGAACACCCTGATTTCCCTGAATGCTGAGGGATCCCTGAGAATTCCCGAGGGAAAGGTGAGCTCCCTGCCCCAGAGCTCACAAGGTGGGGTGCCATGGCCCACAGTGGTTGCTTCAGTCTCCATCAAGAGGCATTGCCTGGGGACCCGGACTGGCTGGCTCAGCGGGAACCATTCATCCTTCACTGGGGGCAGGGACCTCCGGCCCACCCAGAGCGTAATCCCAGCACTTTGGGAGGTGAAAGCAGGAGGAACGCTTGAGCGAGGAGTTCAGGATCAGCTCAGGAAACATAATGAGACCCCATCTCTACAAAAATTTAAAAATTAGCCAGGTGTAATGGCATGCACCTGTAGTCCCAGCTACTCAGAAGGCCATGGTGGGAGGATCACCTGACCCCAGAAGATGGAGTCTGCAGTGAGCCGCTGCACTCCAGCCTGGACAACAGAGCAAGACCCTGTCTTGAAAAAATAAAAATAAGCAGAAACTCATCAGAGACAGGAGGCTGCTCCTCTACGGATAGAAATACTAATCAAGAAGTCCCTGTGTTGTCCGGGTGCGGTGGCTCATGCAGGTAATTCCAGCACTTTGGGAGGCTGAGGCGGGCAGATCACTTGAGATCAAGGGTTTGAGACCAGCCTGGCCAACGTGGTAAAACCCTGTCACTACTAAAAATACAAAAGTTAGCTGGGCGTGGTGGTGCGTGCCCGTAATCCCAGCTACGCAGGAGGCTGAGGCAGGAGAATCACTTGAACCCCGAGGTGGAGGTTGCAGTGAGCCGAGATCACGCCACTGCACTACAGCCTGGGTGACAGAGCAAGACTCCATCTCAAACAAAAACAAAAACGAAGAAGCCCTTGTGTTAGGAACTGTGGCTCCATTTGCACCATCAGAACAAGTGGGGAAAATCCTTTTCCTTTTTACAGTGAGAAGCAGGCAAGGTCTACACTCCTCCCCGTGGTCCACACGGCCCTCAGCGACCAGCCCTGTCACCTCCCTTTCCTCCAAAATGCCAGGCATGGTCCTATCCCAGGGCCTTGGCACATGCTGTGCCCTCTGCCTGCTAATGCCTCCTTATCCTTCAGGTGTCAGCTCAATGACACTGACACACAGGGGCAGGTGCCCTTGTGCAGTGCACAACCACACACAACCACTCTGGTATAAAATATAGAGCGCGGCACACAGTAGGCACTCAATACATGCACACTCTGATGTGATTTCTACCCCTCTGCTCCTCACGCCGAGTCCAGAGACACACAGAACTCACAGCCAATCTCAGAAAAACCTTGGCCCTCACCCCAGACTGAGAGCAGTCCCCCATCCCGTCCTCCCCAGACACCACGCAGGACTCACTCCGGGCAAGGTCTTCTGCTCGTGCAGGGCAGTCTGAGCTTTGATGGCGGAATCCCTGGCACAGTAGGTGAGGAAGGCACAGCCTGGAAGGGAGAGAAACGGGGGTGTTAAGAGAGCAGGTGCACATCGGCGGTCACAGCAGCACCACTCACAGTGGCCACAAGGTGGCAGCAACCCGAGCGTCCGTCAGTCCATCAACAGATGCATAGATCATCAACACAGCTTGGTGCATCCACGCAATGGAGTATTATTCAGCCGTGAAAAGGAAGGAAATTCTGACACAGGCTCTAACACGGATGCACCTTGAGGACGTCACGGTCAGTGAAATCAGCCACACACAGAAGGACAAATCCTGTGTGATTCTACTCCTAGGAGGTCCCTACAGTCATCAGATTTACAGAGACAGAAAATAGGATGGGGGGAGGGGGCGCCGGGGGCTGAGGAGGGGGTGGGGAATGAGTGATTCATGGGAATAGAGTTTCCGTTTGGGAAGATGAGAAAGTTCTGGAGACGGTCGTGGCGATGGCTGCGCTCGATGCCACTGAGCCATGCATTGAAACATTTAAGTTGTGTATATCGTAGTACAATCTTAAAAAAGCAAAAGAGAACAGGATTCTGGAGCCACCTTGTTCCTGGAGGAGACAGTCGAACTGGCTCCGTGTCTTCCCACCCCTTCCGCCCCTGCGCACACATACAACCTCCAAATGGTGAGACCAGGAAGAGGGAGAGAGGAGGCCCAGCCGTGAACCAAGTCAGTGGTCTCAGCTCACTGCAACCTCTGCCTCCTGGGTTCAAGCGATTCTCCTGCCCAGCCTCCCGGGTAGCGTTGATTACAGGTCCCCGCCACCACGCCCGGCTCATTTTCATAGCTGAGCTCAGAGAAGAGCTGCTGAGAACCCTGGAGAAGGCGGGGTGAGGGGAGTGAGCAGAGGGGCTGCCCAGCAGGGAGAATGGGGAGGGCACCAGTGGTCCCAGAAAGATGGAAGAAGCGCTGGTACTGGGATAGGGGGCAGTGGGCTCTGTCACTGACCAGCTACCAACCAGTAGCCTTGGATCAGGCGCTCCCCATATTGGGCCTGTTTCCCCCATCAGAAGGAGAGAGGATGGTCTGAGACGACTACAAGATGGACCAGCCAATGAGTGGGGGGGGGGGTGGAGCTTGAGGGGGCGTGGCAAAGAACCACAGAGAGGCATGTTGACAAAGAGCAGGACCAATCAGGAGAGGTGAGGGGCGGGGCCAGCCCTGGAGTGGCCCAGAGTGAGAGTGTGATTGGGCGACATTAGGGGGTGGGAGGTGAGGGGCGTGGCCATCCCTGGAGTGGCCCAGAGTGAGAGTGTGATTGGGCGACATTAGGGGTGGGAGGCGAGGGGCGGGGCCAGCCCTGGAGTGGCCCAGAGTGAGAGTGTGATTGGGCGACATTAGGGGTGGGAGGCGAGGGGCGGGGCCATCCCTGGAGTGGCCCAGAGTGAGAGTGTGATTGGGCGACATTAGGGGTGGGAGGTGAGGGGCGGGGCCAGCCCTGGAGTGGCCCAGAGTGAGAGTGTGATTGGGCGACATTAGGGGTGGGAGGTGAGGGGCGGGGCCAGCCCTGGAGTGGCCCAGAGTGAGAGTGTGATTGGGCGACATTAGGGGTGGGAGTGAGGGGCGGGGCCAGCCCTGGAGTGGCTGTGATTGGGCGACATTAGGTATGAGAGACCAGAGACATTGACAATACCAGAGACAGAGACAAGACACGAGCAACTCTGGAGAACCCGCCCTCTCCCTGAAAGCCTAATTAGATCAAAAGCATTTTGAAAGATGTTTGCCTGAGGTGGGATCGGGATTGCACACAGGTCAGGGGTCCTGGGATGGACCCAGGGGGCTGAGTGGACCTGTTTGGGGACCTGTGAAATGAGACCATCGCTGGCTGCTCCGATGTTATCAAACCCTATGTTCACCCTCAAACCCTGCCCCCTATGGTCCCTGGTTTCTCTGCTTGCTCCCCTCCCGGGGACACTCTGTGCCGGGCTCCGTGGTGCCCACTTCTGCTCCAGGCAGGAGCTAATTAAAGTGGCCACCTGCTGGTCGCTCCCACCAGCTGGGCTGCGTGATGGGGGGCGGGGAGGGAATCCGAGGGAATCCCACCTCAGATCCGAGAAGTCCCCTGAAACCCTGGAGGTACCAGGCAGAGCTGGAAATGGTTTCCAGCATTTAAAAAAAAAATTGTGGTAAGAATATAAAATGGTATGGCTGCTGCAGATAACAACTTGACAGTTCCTCCAGAAATGAAATAGCATCACCACGGGACCCAGCAATTCCACTTCCGGGTGGATATTCAGAAGAATTGAAAGCAGGGACGCACACAGAGATATTTGTATAACGATGTTGATGGCGGTAAGATTCACAGTAGCCAGAAGGCGGGAGCAACCCGAAGTCCATCCACAGATGAATAAATCAATACAATATGGCCGACCCGCACAATGGAATATTATCCAGCCACAAAAAGGAAGGAAATTATGACACCTGATACGTGGGTGAACCCTGAGATCATCATGCTCAGTGAAATAAGCCAGATACAAAAGGAGAGACAGGGGCTTCATAGGAGGACCACGGCACAGTCAGATTCACAGAGAAGGAAAGCAGGATGGGGGGTGCCAGGGGCTGGGGACTGGGGTAGGAAGTGTTTCATGGGGATAGAGTTTCCGTTCGGGAAGATGACAACATTCTGGAGGCCAGACAAGGTGGCTCTCGCCTGTAATCGCAGCGCTTTGGGAGGCAGAGGCGGGTGAATCACCTGAGGTCAGGAGTTCGAGACCAGTCCGACCAACTGGTGAAACCCCATCTCTACTAAAAATACAAAAAAAATTAGCCAGGCGTGGTGGTGGGTGCCTGTAATCCCAGCGCTTTGGGAGGCAGAGGCGGGTGAATCACCTGAGGTCAGGAGTTCGAGACCAGTCCGACCAACTGGTGAAACCCCATCTCTACTAAAAATACAAAAAAAATTAGCCAGGCGTGGTGGTGGGTGCCTGTAATCCCAGCGCTTTGGGAGGCCGAGGCGGGTGAATCACCTGAGGTCAGGAGTTCGAGACCAGTCCGACCAACTGGTGAAACCCCATCTCTACTAAAAATACAAAAAAAATTAGCCAGGCGTGGTGGTGGGTGCCTGTAATCCCAGCGCTTTGGGAGGCAGAGGCGGGTGAATCACCTGAGGTCAGGAGTTCGAGACCAGTCCGGCCAACTAGTGAAACCCCATCTCTACTAAAAATACAAAAAAAAATTAGCCAGGCGTGGTGGTGGGTGCCTGTAATCCCAGCACTTTGGGAGGTTGAGGCGGGTGAATCACCTGAGGTCAGGAGTTCGAGACCAGTCTGGCCAACTGGTGAAACCCCATCTCTACTAAAAATACAAAAAAAATTAGCCAGGCGTGGTGGTGGGTGCCTGTAATCCCAGCACTTTGGGAGGTTGAGGCAGGTGGCTCATCTGAGGTCGGGAGTTCCAGACCAGCCTGGCCAACATGGAGAAACCCCATCTCCACTAAAAATACAAAGTTATCCGGGTGTAGTGGCACATGCCTGTAATCCCAGCTACTCAGGAGGCTGATGCAGGAGAATCACTTGAACCCGGGAGGCGGAGATTGTGGTGAGCTGAGATTATTCCATGGCACTCCATTCTGGGCAATAAAAGTTAAACTCCATCTCAAAAAAACAAAAAAAGAGAAGAAAGTGAGGTTGGGTCCAGGTGCAGTGGCTCATGCCTGTAATCCCAGCACTTTGGGAGGCTGAGGCAGGAGGATCGCTTGAGTTCACAATTTCAAGGCCAGCCTTGGCAACATGGCGAAACCCCATCTCTATAAAAAAAATACAAAAATTAGTCGGGTGTGGTGGCGGGCACCTGGAGTCCCAGCTACTCGGGAGGCCGAGGCAGAAGGATCTCTTGAGCCCAGGGTGTGGAGGTTTCAGTGACCTGTGGTTGTGCCACTGCACTCCAGCCTGGGTGACAGAGCCAGATCCTGTCTTAACAACAATGAAAGTAGAAAGTGGCAGCCACCAGAAGTCCCAGTGTCCCCCACCCCAGCACAACGCCCTCCATCCTGCGGGGGTAACCACTCCGGCTCTTGTGTATGCCTTCATCATGCTGTCCCCACCACGTGCTCATCACATATCAATGTGATTGGCTGCTTCCCGTTTTCGAACTTACATGAATGAAATCATGGCATAGGTCCACCCTCATGTCCAGCTTCTTTCATTCAATATACAGTCCGCGACACGTAGTTGTGTGTATCAGAGGTTAGTTCCTTTTTGTTTCTGGGTAGTATTGTGTCCTAGGAATATACTACAAATTGCTCATCCGTTCTCCTGTGGGTGAGCATTCCATTCGGGTTGTTTGCTGTTTGGGGCAATTATGAATGAAGTGGATCTGCAACATTCTTGTCCATTTTTTTTTTTTTTTTTTTTTTAGGCAGGGTCTTGCTCTGTTGCCCAAGCTGGAGTGCAGTGGTATGATCACAGCTCACTGCACCCTCCACGTCTCAGGCTCAAGTGGTCCTCTGGCCTCAGCCTCCCAAAGTGCTGGGACCACAGGTGCATGCCACCACACCCAGCCATTATTATTATTATTGCAGAGACAGGGTCTGCTATGTTGCTAAGGCTGGTCCTGAACTCTTGGGCCCAATTGATCTTCTGCCTTGGCTTCCCAGAGTGCTGGAATTATAGGCGTGAGCCACTGCACCCAGCCTTGTCCATATATATATATATATATGCGAGAGAGAGAGAGAGAGGCAGGCTGATTCTCCACCTGTCACCCAGGCTGGAGTGCAGTGGCACAATCTCAGCTCACTGCAAACTCCCCCTCCCAGGCTCAAGTGATTCTCCTGCCTCAGCCTCCTGAATAGCTGAAATTACAGGTGTCCACCACTACGCCTGGCTAGTTTTTGTATTTTTTTTTTTTTTTTGAGACGGAGTTTCACTCTTGTTACCCAGGCTGGAGTGCAATGGCGCGATCTCCGCTCACCGCAACCTCCACCTCCTGGGTTCAGGCAATTCTCCTGCCTCAGCCTCCTGAGTAGCTGGGATTACAGGCGCGCGCCACCATGCCCAGCTAATT